GGGGGGGGGGGGGGGGGGTGGGGGAAGGGAGGGATGAAATCGAGAAATGGGCTAGGTGGTGACAAGTGCCAACAGCAGCTACACGCTGGTAAGGGTGTCAATAGCGCCTCTTTTGATGGTTGCTTCCAAGCATCGGACGAGTGGTAGAGGGATTGGTTGTCACACACGGCGGAGTCGGGTCTTCCTCTTATTGCGGGGTAACAGTGCTACCCCTCCGTTCCGTTCTTTGACGTCTCAGTGCGCACTCTAAGGCCGTGCTTCATCGTCACGTTACTTAACATCGTTCTTATCTGTATTCAATTTCCTGTTGGCGAAGTTTTGCATTGCCGGCCCAAATTATTGGTCTGCTAATGACACCTGTGCAGACGAAAACTGGATGCGCTTGGCACAATTGCTTTTTATTCCAGAACGAGTAAGAGGCCGTTCTTCGCGGAATATGCAATACCTGTGGAGGACCAATTGAGCGCACTGACCAGCTTCAGCAATAACAATATTCGTGCTCATTTCGCACAGCTGCACTAATACTTGTATTGGAGTGACCGGTCACATCAAGATGTCCAATTCCGCCTTCATCATTGCTGTTGTTTGCTTCGGTGAGCTCACTTCTTTTCTGTACCATCAAAGTACCCGGCTCGCGCGATGCTCCCCTTTATAATGCAGCTGCACAGTGCACTCGCTGGGCCAGTTTGCATTGAGCTGACATCCGCTCGGAGATTCCCCGGCTGCTTGCTGCTTTTCGCGGTGTATTCTCACCGTTCGAGCGATCGTTGCATCTCGCTCGTACTAGTCAGGGCAGTGTCTTGCACCGTGTTGCCACGGGGAGAAAGGCACTCTGAGTGTCGTGGCGGCAACAAATGTTTAATAAAGAACTCCCGCCGATGCAGGATTTGGAGTTTTCAAATATAATAATAATAATACGTTGGGCCCTTCAGAGGCCGCCAGAGAATATATACCACCCAATACGTCTAGCCCGGGCGGGTATTATTCAGCTTTTCTTTCTGCTTCAAATACCAACTTCTCTGCAGCAGAGGTTGCTATGTTGGGCGCGCACAATAACAATACAAGTCTTTACAGTAACCTCAAATTTGGGTTATTAAACCCATACAAAATTACAACAACAAAGCATCACAATCTTAGAAATCGATCCGCGCTCCATGACCCCC